CCTTTTAATTTTTATAAATATTTATAAAATATTGATATATTGTAGATTTGTATTAATTAGATATTAAACTCAAAATAAATTGATCTTTATAATTTTTTATGGATCGTGATAAATAGACCACACAAATAAGCTAAATGGACAAAGATTCAACCTTTAATTTTGTAGCTATTAATTATTTTCTATTTTTTAACTAACCGGGCCAAAAATAATGAAAGCCTAATTAATTAAGTATTAATGTGATTACTAATATGATCTATATAATGCAGTCAGATAATAACCAACACACATGACCATTTTCTATTCTTTCTACTGTCTCTGCATTCTATGAATACTAGAAAGATCTAATAGATTGTGAGTATACTTATACTTAAGATAATTGAGAAGATGAGAACGTACAAGCCATGAATTCTCCATGTTCACTTCTTATCTTATTTAAATTATATATATTGAGATATTAATTTCAACATATCCATCTAATATCCAATATTATTAGGTCAGATTAGAGCATTATTAAACTTAATTAAAGGTAACAATCCAAAAATTTTGTGCATTCCTATAATCAAAATTGAAAATATTATGTTAACAATTTTTATTAAAAAATAGTAATATATACTTCTTTCGTTTAAAAATATAAGGCATTTTTAATCAAATTTTACTTTAATAAAGTTGTTACCTATTTTTAAATTAATCTTATTTTTTTATATTTATTTTTATCAAATACTCTACAATAAATATAAAATTATTATTAATAGTAGTACTTTTAAAAAAATAATAAATATATTTTAAAAAATTAAAAATATTTTATTTTTAAATATTTAATTTTATAAAAAATATTTTATATTTTTAAATATTTAATTTTATAAAAAATATTTTATATTTTTTAAAGAATGGAGTATTACCTTCTTTCTCACAATATTTGTTATTGTCTTGACTAATTGAGTGGCTGGAGTGTCGTGAAGGGTGGGACAGGCAGAATCAAAAAGAAGAAAATGGAAGGGACCACGTGGGTTGTGTATTGAGGCATCAGATGTCAAATTTTCAGGTAATGGAGAGAGAAAAGCAGGAAGACAAGTGGACATTGAAGGGACAAAAAGACCAAAAGAAAAAAAAAATAAAAATAAAAAGAATCTTAGGACTTTTTATATCTCATCGTTCTTTTAGTGACACGATAATGTCTACGAATCTGATTCCCCCTTTCTTGTCTTTCCCTTGATCCCAATCCTGCTTTGGCAGCCTTCTTTGACTTTCTCTGTCTTCTTTAGTAAATTCATTTCACTTTTTTTAAAAAGAAGAATTCATCTCAAAATTCTGTCTCCAGATAGTTCAAAATAAAGTAAAGAAGAAAAAAAAAGTTAACATATAATATTTTCAGAATAATGATTGGAATGAACATCATTTTTTATCTATTTACTTCCTCCATTTAAAAATATAAAATATTTTTAATATTTTAAGATGTAATTATTACTTTTTTAAGAGTACCCCTATTGATAATAATTTTATATTTATTGTCAGATGTTTAATAGGAGTAAATTAAAAAGATAAAGTTAGTTAAAAAGTAATTAACTACTTTTTTCAAGGGTAAGATTCGTTTAAACATACCTTATATTTTCTAACAAAAGGAGTATAATCTATAATATTTGTTTTTGAATTTAATCAACTCTTCAAGTTTAACCCCTATTAATTGGGTCCAAGGTTGAGCTCAAAAAACTCCTTTTTTATTTATTTTTATTTTAAAAATTTAATTAATTCTTACATTGTAATATAACATATCCATTCTATAAAATACAAACTATAATTTTATAAAAATTAAATGAAGCAATGTGAATCCTAATTTTAAAGTAGAAATATATATTTTAAAATTTAAATTTAATTTAAAATATCTCATTTTTCAATAATAAAAATATAAGCTTAAATGGGTAGCTCAAACATGGTCCTTTTTTTAGGTCTTAAATACATCAACTTTATAATTCAAAAAAAATCTCTATATAATAAATTCAAAAAATGATGTTATATTTTTTAAATAATTTTAAAAATATTTTTTAAATATTACCTAAAAATCATACCATAACTTATAAATAAAATTACATAAAATTTTTAAAATGTAACTTAAAAATAAGAGCTAAGGGAGACATGTATGTGTCATGTGGAGATAGATCTTGTGCTTACTCGAACCCCACAAGAGCCTAATCATTTTCCCCCCACAAAAGAATCTAATCCTTAATAAGCCTAAGGGGAAAAAAAAAATCATGTTATCATGATTTCCACATGATAGTGTTTATATATATATATATATATATATAATTTTAAAATGTTGATAGCTATAATGTAGCAAAAAAGTGGTGGATTCTATCACCACTTATTATAGACTACTCGTGCAAAAGAAAAGGTCCTCATAATTGTGTTCAATCCTTGATCATCATTGCACAATACGCACACCACATATCGAGGAAAACATAGATAAACCAGAATATGTATCCTTTTTCACGTGAGAAATCATTAACAGATGGTTTTTTTATAAATGAAATTATATTTACATTGGTAATAATACACACACACACATTTTTTTTATGTATACTGTATGTATGGTAATAACAATAATTTAATTTGGTCAATATTAAATATATGTTCAATCAATATAAAATAATTAATTTTACAAAATCTAGAAAATTGTAAAGTCATGAGATAACAAATCATTAAGAAAAAATTTCATAATATATATTGTTATTCAATTAATTTATGAAAAATAATTTCTTTTCAAGGACATTTTAATGCAATAGAAAATTTATACAATTTCAATATTCATAAGAAAATAATTTAGCATATCAAATAAGTATTTAATGTAAGGAGAAGTGTCCACCTTCAATACTTAATCATGCCTTAAATAAAATTAATTTTAATAAAAAAAATACTTATGAGCAATCCAAAAATAAGTACTTGAGGTAAGTGATGATAAATACTCAGTTAAAGAAAAAAAAAAAAAAGAAAAATGCACTCACTCTTTTTAATAAATAGGTGAAAATTTGATCTTATCATTTTTTGTCGATTAAATTTAGTTAATAGAGGTTTATCTGTACCCTTCATATTTTGAAGAAGATTAGAGTATATCTAATTATACCAAACAATTATTAAATACTTTTTAATATAATTTTCCAATTGGATTGGATGGGCAAAGACATGGTAATACCTTTTTTCCCGTCTGTTGAATTTTCTTCATTTGCCGACTAGCTATGATGATAATTAATTATTAATTAATTAGTAATTAACCAGTCACATCTTTTTTAACTTTGTTTTATTTATTCATAAAAAAATCATTCAAACGGCATATTCTTCTTTCACATCAACCCAAATTAAAATAAAACTCAAAAACCCCTAAAGTGGCATTTTTTTGGCCGATTTGTTATAATTATAATTTATAATTTTTAAAAAATTATATGTTTAAATCAGATCAATTTGGGTAACTCATAGCTATAATTATTTTGATGATTTGACTTGATTTGATTTGTTAGTTTGAGTTTAGATATAAGATAGATGAAAAAGAGATCGGATCTGAAATATCAATTTAAATTTTATTAGGGTAAAAAGATTCGGATCACGTAATGGAATTTTCCTTTTTTTAAAAAAGAACTAATTCTCCCTAAATTATAGGAGCGAAGGTAATTTATTAGTCACCAACACCACAATAATGAAACTTCGCGGAAACGGCAAAGGGCAGGAACTGTAAATTTCTCGAAAGCCGAAACGAGTGGCGAACACGGCTCCAGCGCTTCACGTCACCTATAAATTCACGTCTTAGCCTCGATGCCCTAACAGATACGGCTAATCTCAACGCTCAAGGAGGCACAGGCTGTTTCGGCGAAGTTGTTCTTTTCGTTTGTTCATCTTATTCCACCGATCTCTAGGGTTTTTGATCTCTGGTTTCAAATCCTTCCGTAGTCTTACAATTTTACATCTGTAAGCATTCGTTGAATTTCTTCTTTCTTTTCTCGATTTGTTCTGGTCTTTCCTGTTTCTGATTTCGATCTATTTTTCTTTGCCTGAAGGGTTCGATCTGATTTCTGATATCATACGATTCTTGACGAGGCTGAAGGTTCTCACATAGGGATCGATTAACAATTCTCTACTTTTATCAATTCAGGTGCGTTCTTTTGGTTGCTGCGCGTTACGTTTTCTTTTCTATTGTTTATGTTAATAGTAATGGTATTGCTTAGATTTTATATTAAAGAACATTATCGTTCAATGTTTTTTTAATTCTTTTTTATTATTTCAAATTTCGTTGGGTTTTCCCTATTATATTTGATTTTGCTGTTACTTAGACTGCGTTGTTTTAGGGTGATCTGTCTATATTTTGAGCCTTTTGTTCTTGGTTCGTTTTTCAAGAATGACTTGTTTAAATATTTTGATGTATATATCCTTTTTATGTGGTTCTGCTCGGAACTCTCTGCTTGTATATGGATCTGTATTTTTTGACCTATTTGTCTACTTTTGTCCAATTGAACAATTCGGATCCGTTCATGGTTCGTTAGTTTCAGTTGTGAATAGAAGTCCATTAATTTGTTGTAATGCCTTCCCTTGCATCTGGCTTATGCCCTTTAGATGATATCGATATGTGATTTTTCCAATTTTTCATGTGATTCTCTTGGCTATACTATTTCTTTCCCATCTAGTTTTTTTTGATTTGCTGAAATATCTGTAATCTGTTTGTTGAAGCAGACCTGCATGATCTAATGGAGTCCAAGGGTGGGAAAAAGAAGTCTAGTAGTAGTAGTAGTAGTAAATCATTGTTCTACGAAGCTCCCCTTGGCTACAGCATTGAAGACGTTCGACCCAACGGTGGAATCAAGAAGTTCAGATCTGCTGCTTACTCCAACGTAAGTTGTATATCACATATACCATGTGGGATTTGGATTTTTGTATTATTTGATTCATTGAACAATGAACAATGCTAATACCCATTTTATGCTCTTTTGCAGTGCGCTCGCAAGCCATCCTGATATCCCCGGCTTTTGATCCGTTATTTTTTAGGTTTTTTCTGTTTATCTTAGGTTTATTTACTGCTCTACTTCAATCAACGTCTTTCCAATCCCCCTTTTTGCGATCGTGCTCTCTTCACACCTGTGGTTTGGTTCTACTGTGTTCGTTTTCTGAGGCAAAATGGCTGTGCCTGTTTCTGCAATTGGTTTCGAAGGTTATGAGAAGAGGCTGGAAATATCCTTCTTTCAGCCTGGAATCTTTTCTGACCCAGAAGGAAAGGGTCTGAGATCTCTTACAAAGTCCCAGTTGGATGAGATTTTAGCACCAGCAGAGTGCACCATTGTTTCATCACTGTCAAACGACGAGGTTGACTCCTATGTTCTTTCTGAGTCTAGCCTTTTTGTCTATCCATACAAGATTATCATCAAAACCTGTGGGACGACCAAGTTACTCCTTTCAATCCCACCCATACTGAAGATGGCTGAGCTCCTTACCCTTGCTGTTAGATCTGTGAGGTACACTCGTGGAAGCTTCATTTTCCCTGGGGCTCAGTCCTTTCCACATCGTCACTTCTCCGAGGAAGTAACAGTCCTGGATAGCCACTTTGGGAAGCTTGGATTGGGAAGCGTGGCTTATATTATGGGTGGCGTGGACAGCCCACAGAAGTGGCATGTATACTCTGCTTCTGCTAATTCAGTGAGCGCATGTGACTCTGTTTACACCCTCGAGATGTGCATGACTGGTTTGGATAGAGACAAGGCTTCTGTTTTCTACAAAGATCAAGCTGACTCTGCAGCCCACATGACTTTGAAATCTGGAATCAGAAAGATCCTTCCAGAATCCCAAATATGTGACTTTGAGTTTGATCCGTGTGGTTATTCAATGAACTCAGTCGAGGGTGCTGCTGTTTCTACCATTCATGTTACGCCAGAAGATGGATTCAGCTATGCTAGCTTTGAAACAGCAGGATATGATCTGAAGGCCTTGAATCTGAAACAACTGGTCTTGAGGGTGCTGTCATGCTTTGAACCGGAAGAATTTTCAGTAGCTGTGCATGTGGACGTTGCGAGAAAGACATTCGAGCAGTGCTGTTTACTGGATTTGAAGGGCTACAGTCGCAAAGAGGGGAGCCTTGAGGAGCTTGGAATGGGTGGTTCTGTTGTCTACCAAAAGTTCGTCAAGACTGCTGAATGTGGCTCACCTAGATCGACTCTGAAATGCTGGAAAGACGAAGTTGAAGAAGAGTAGTTTTAGTTTGTTGCTTTTAAATTGTCGTCTCTGATGCGTGTGACCTCTCGTGATTTCATGGTTTGTCGTGTTGCCGAAAATAAAGCTAGCCGGTTAGGCTGGATCTGGTATTTCTAGTTGACCTGCTTTTCTTGGTATTATTGCCTGTCGTTTCGATGAAAGTAAAGCCTGCCTGTTAGGCTTTGCGGTTGTATCGGCAGTGAATTGTATTTGTGATGCGGGACCTTATTATGGCTTTATGAAATGCATGTTTTTATTTATTTTCTGTCTATTATAGTGGCATGCTGTTCTCGGATTTTAGTTTATCCTCCTTCCTCCGCTATTAATATATAAATTATTACTATGTATTTTAATAAGCAATAAGAAATGGGAAGTTGTACTATTTATTTAGTCTTGTTTGGTTGTTAACAAATTTTTAAATGGAATGGATAATGAACTAAATCGTCCTTTTCAGTAAATATGATCAAACTTAATATTATATATCATAATTGTGAAAATAATCATTTGAGTCCCAAAAAAAAAAATCAACATCTTTTAAACACTTCATGAATTACCACTTCTAACTCTTAAATTAAATTATCTTTTTTTTATGAATATAATTCACTTATCTTCCTTCACATTTTAATTATTTTAATTTTTATTTATATTTTTTTAATTCGTTTCATTCCATTCAATCAAACGCACCTAGTCTATTGAACAATTTTTTTTTGGGGCCAGAAGTCTATTCGACAACTGAAGAAAAAAAGGTTCAGTCTATTCTAATCTTTTTAAAGGCTGCGCCCAAGATCATTGTGTTCGATATTATAAAAACTGGAGATAATGTTAGCCCACAAATTTAACGGTTTGCCACGTCAATTCCATGAAGGATTTTTTTTTGGACGAAGGGAAATTTGTTTTAGTTTTTCCTGATGAATAAATCATTTTTTAAAAATTCACTTCAATAAAATTTAATCATTTATTTGAGATAAATAGATCTTAATTGTATGAAGTTACTTTAAGCAGCTTTCTAAGTAATTAAATGCATGAAAGATGACATTAATAAAAAGGAAAATTAATTCTTTTAGTATTAAATGTTTAAAACTATAAGGGCGAGGTTGCAATGTGTTAAAGTTTAATGATTGAGTCTCAATTAAGTCAAATTATATGAATTAAATTATACTAAATTAAAGTTTAGAAATTAAATTATAATCAAGTTAAAAATATATGAATTAAATGATTAATTTTTTCTTTAATAAAAATACACAAATTCTGAGGATAATGAAAAATTTGAAAATCATTCAATAATAAATCGTTTTTATGAGCATCGATACACATAAATATTATAAAGTAACTGAATCATAAACTACTTTTTGGACAAAAAACTATTTTGTATTTCATAATCAATGCCAAATGATTTTTGTTTTTTCACAAATTTTCTATAAAATAAATTAATTTTCATAAAATATTTAAATATCTAAAAGTCCTTTCTTTATGCTTATACAAACAGGTTTTTTGTCAATTTTATTGAATCGGTACTTGGTACCATCCCTTGCCAATTGCCATATAATTGTAGGTTGCAAGAAATGAATTAAATTTAGTTTATCAAAAAAAAAAAAAAGAAAATGGCTTCATATTTTCATATTCTCTAAATTAGATATATAAATATGACTATTTTATATTCCTTACACTCATATAAGCATTTATTCGAGTTTTGATGACAATTAATTCTTGATCGATATGAATTTTGGTCAGTAGTCCTTGATTACTATTTTTCCATACTTTTTTTTCATATAGGGTGGAATATTAAAGTAATTGTAATGAATTAATAATTTAATTTTGTGTTTGGATTAATGAGAATTTAGATTTGAACCCAATCTCTTATTTGGTTACACAAAGAAATTTAGATTTGATTCAAATTTAAATTCATTTTAATTTATAATTTTTTGTAATTTTAAATTTTTCTATATCCTAGTCATTTAAAATTTTAATTATTTTAAAAATTTTATTTTTTTTTTATATATCTTATCGATTTAAAAAAAAACTCATCATTTTTAATTTTGTTTTGAAACTCAATTTATTCTTTTCTTCATTAAAATCTTTTAAACCATCAAGACAAATAATTTTTAATATATAAATTTTAAATTTGAGATTTAAAATATAAAATTTTAAATCTAAAATTCAAATAGGAATTTATTAAAACAATTGCGGCCTTTGTTTGGTTGTTCGTCTTTATTAATAATTTTCACAAACTCAACATCAAAGTGGCTGTAGTTTAGTGGTGAGAATTCCACGTTGTGGCCGTGGAGACCTGGGCTCGAATCCCAGCAGCCACATGCTCCGTCGTATTTTCTTTTTAAATTTAAACGCGGCAAAATGTAATTGATTTAATCAAACAAGTGCAGGATAATATCATAATTTTAAATGAATTTATAACGACAAAAAAATAATTCAATGTATTAATTTAATTATATAGAAGGATTTTAATTTTTGAAACATTTAAATATCAATATATAATTTATCTTGTGTGTCTCTAAATGTCATTTTCTGTCATTTACTCATGAAGAAATCCCTCCACACTTAATTTAAAATAATCCTGTCAAAAAAAACTTATAATTTTTACCTGTATCCATTATTACCTAAATATGATTTAGGATGTATCACATCTAACATATGACTGTTTAAGACTTATTTGTAAGAATAAGGAATAGGCTCACTACAGAGAATATCTCTTCTGAGGTATTGAGGGTAATATATAAATATCTCTCAATAAAATTATTGCATATATGAGGGTTAGAATTTTAATATTCAACTATTTACTTAAATGATAAGAGTCTCAATTATTATGTCTATAGAATATGAATGCTCCATATATTTTCACCACAGAAACAAGAGATCCTAGAAAAGAAACATCTTCAAGTTTTATTATATTATGTCTTTGTCCATCACAAGAATATGACACCATTGATACACACACAAAAAGTATCATGTACACACACACGCTATCACACACACAAGAAATGAAAAGAAAGGAAAATAAATCACAAAGTGAGCTTTGGAAATTCACATATATAGTGGACAATCATATTTTACCTGTTTTTTTTTTTTGACATGAAACAATCATATTTTACTTGAGAGCTTAGAGAGATCATAAAGTCCCAAGTGTTGAGGGCATGAAGGAAATATTGTTTTTTATTCTATGACACTCAAGGACCTAGGTCCTTAGATGTTATTAAGTCACTAGGAGGTCCATTGGTTGTCATTTTCTGTGAATTAAAAAAGCATAAAATTTAGGAAAAATACAATCAAGTTTCAAATAAGAAAATTAATTATTATTTTTAGCTTATTTACAAATCAAACTTCAATATTTGCATGTCAAACTTCAGTATTTACAAGTGGTTGAGATTTATAAATAATTAATTTTATTGTACAGAAATTATATGTCATTTTCTCTAAAATTTAATAACTTCTTGATGTTTAAATTTTCATCAAATGAATAAAAATATATATGAAAAATATTAAAAATGAAAGAACTCGAATCAAAACTTTTCAAATTAATCCAAACAATCTAAATAAAACTTGTTCCTTTTTCATCGTTATGGTAAAAAGAAAAAAATTGATAAAAAAATTGGTAAGTTATATATGCTCATATTTTTAATCAAAACCCATGAGGCCTTGTCACAATATACTTTTTATTTATCAGGAAAAATTATATCAAAATTTAAGGCAGAATTTCGAATCTATGGATTAGATAAAAGAGTTTAGATTTTAAAGAGCAATAATTGAAGGGCTATTTTCAAAAAATATTTGAGGAGTGCTTGGATGCTAACATATTTGCAAGAAAAAGCAAATTACTATTCCGCCTTTCCTAAAATTAGAGTTGAAAATATAGAACAAGATTATCAGGTTTCCCTTTTAAACTTGTTTCTCAAGGCTTGGACTTTAAAAATTAAAATATTTTATACAAAAGGACTTTTAAGCCCAACCTGTTTAAATAATCGAAAAATCAGTTTGAGATCGTTTTATTATTCAAGCCCTATTTATTTTTACCTTTAAAATAAGATATTTTAAATTTTTGGATTAAATTTAGACTTTAGAATGTGTATACTTTAAAATAAGAACTTGCATCACTCATTTTAATTTTTGAAAATTGTAATATACAATTTAAAGAATGAATATGTAATATTATAATATAAAAATTAAATTTTAAAAATAAAAATAAATAAAATGGGTTCCGGCCTAGCTCTAAACCTAATAAAAAAATATTAAATTTAAAATTAAAAATTTTAAAGCAATTGAGTTTTAATGCCTCAGCCATGTGAGCCTAGCTCATAAGGATAGGGTTCACATGGGCCAAGCCCACACATATATTGGTTCTACCTCAAATGGAATAACCCACACCACATGATGGCAGAACAAACGCACAAACGAAAAACAAACAAGGTGCAGAAGATTTAAGTAACGGAAAGAAATTACAATTTTAAGAATCTCAGAAATTTTCACTGATTCCATCCTTTTAACATAAAGCAAATATGGAGGAGTTAAAAGAAAATATATCAACTTAACACCTTCCATTCAAATTAAAATTTATTTTTCAATTACAATTACCAACGTACTTTATTTTAGAAGAAATCTTTGGTTGGCATGTTATACATGCTACTATTTTTTTTTTAAGAAAAGACAATTTAGCCAATGTAATATTAGTCCCATACAAATAAAAGGCCCAAGAAAAAAAATTGGGCCCAACAGAAGACACAAAGCAACAAAACATTATGCCATTGGTAGCCTTATTTCACTAGATGAGGTCGGCTATACGAATTGTATGATGCCATTGTGATATACCATATATTAAGTTTTTAGAAATGTTGTTAACTAAGAGATCTCAGTTAATAACTTCCAACAGTGTTCTCTTTGGCCTTCATTTGCCTCTTTAATAAGGTTCAAAGTTATTTGTTCCATTCTTCTCATTGATGTCTCCCACAGTCTTGTTTGTATATGTCCAAACAATCTGAAATGATTTTTTACTATTTTTTCTTCAATAGGTGCTATGCCCAATTTTTCATGTATGTGCTCATTTTGAATTTTAGCTTTACGTATATATTCACACATTCATCTCAATATTCTCATACTTGCTATTTTAATTTTATGCTCTTATTGTCCCATTAAAGTCCAACATTCACTACCATATAACATAGCTTGTTTTATAGCAGTTCGATAAAACTTCTGTTTAAATTTATTAGGTACTTTACGATCACAAATAATTCCTTTAGCCTTTCTCCAATTAAATCACCCAGCTTGTATTCTATGTGCAATATCCCTTAATTTCTCCATCGTGCTGAATAATAGCTAGGTATTAGTAAGATAATTGCCAATTTATTCACTTTCGGTGTGTATTGGAGGGATGAATGTCATTTGTCGCTACTGCTGTTTATGTGTTGCCATATCATGATAATTTCAGAGAGATATTATGGCAAAAGATTCTTGATTTTGCTAATAATATCAATGAACCATGGGTTATATTTGGTGACTTCAATGATATTTATCCTCCCCAATTGAAAGAATAGGTGGCATGGGAACGAATTCTACCACACATCGTTGGTTCAAGGAGAAAATGGATGAATACAGATTAACTGATTTAGGTTCTTTGGGCCTGAGGTTCACCTAGAAAGGACCTCAATTTGTAGATTTTTCTAGATTACACGAGTGGGTAGATCGTGCTTTGGAGAATAATTAATATCTTTATCACGACATTCCCTAATTGTGAAGTGAAGGTACTTCCTAGATCTAGTTTCTTTTATCATAACCCTATCTATTTACAATTGCAGAGAAGTTTGAATATTAATGCTAGTGTGAAAACTTTTCGCTTTCAGGCAATGTGGCTGAATCATGATAATTTCAAGAGTTTTTTTAATGGAAAATTGGAATGCATCAGACGCTTTTTGTGTTGATCTAAGTAATCTTAAAAATGATATCCTGATATGGAATCGAGATGTATTTGGTTTTGTTGAGAAGAAGAAGAGGCATGTTATGGCTTAGTTAAATGGCATTCAAAAAGCAGAGGCATATCCCTCTTTTAAGTTCTTGAAAAATTTAGAACCTGATCTACACAAAGAGCTTGATGAAATTCTTAAACAAGAGGAGCTGACATGGTTTCAAAAGGCAAGAATTGATTGGATCAATAAAGTTGATAAGAACACTCACTATTACCATATGAAATCAACAATAAGAAGAACATTAAAGAATGATGCTCATTTGTGGGTTGAGGTGATAGGGAATTACATTATTTAGTTTTAAAGTTTTTGAACAGCTTTACAAAGAAGAAGAGGATGAAGAGAGTCAAGTTTGTTTACATGCTTTAGCATCTTTCCCAATAGCTAATAACAATTTGATGAATGGCATTGCTGCTACACTAATGGATAAGCAAGTTAAGACTACTATTTTTTCTGAGACCTTATAAAGCATCAGGCTTTGATGGTTTCTCTCGAATCTTTTTTCAAGCCAATTGGGAGATAGTAGGTCGTTCTCTTTGCAATTATGTTAGAAGCGCGTTTGAAGGGAAAATTTCTACAATAGAGGCAAACAAAACTTTGATTTCTCTTATCCCAAAATAGAGAAAGTAGAGTTTGTTTCTCATTTGAGACCCATAATCCTTTGTACATGTTCACTACAAGTGTATCACCAAGATAGTTACGAATGAGAAGATTGAAGGCATTGATGGATGATTTAATCTCTACATTTCAAGCTAGTTTTATTTCAGGAAGATATATTCAAGATAGTATAATAGTGGGATAGGAAATTATGCACATTATGATCAAAGCAAGAGGAAAAAAAGGATTCATGGTGATGAGGATTGACACAATAGGACTATTCTGCGCAACAAATTAAAGAATTAATCTCTTTTGCACAACCAAAAGTAGGACTTAGATTTTTTAAACTTATTGGGACATGCAAATTAGGCTTGGCCAAATTATCGGTCGTTTAATTATGAATCCCAAGTATTTGAAATTTCTCTCCATTTTACTAATATTTCATAAAACTATCCATTAGCTCAATTCATTAAAAATTTAAAAAATGAATGAAATTATCTTTATGATATGACGATGACTCCCAAATTACACTTAAAAGTTCATTAATACTACAAAATAAAAAACTGGTAATCTAAAGCTAGGGTTGCTAAAGGGGGGAAGTTGAAGGTGTTTGGTGTTTAGAAGGGATTCAGGTGGAGAATGCAGGAGAGGAATTCTTTTGCATTGAATATAAAATTATAGAATATAAAGTAGAAGCAAAATCAAAATTGAATTGTTTACTAGCACATGCAAAACGAGCAATAAATCCAAGCTCACTTTCTCCCATAAATATCAAGGAAAGTGATAGAAAAAGACCTTTTGAAGATGTTATTAATCACAATCGAAGGTCTCAAATTATTGAAAAAAAAAGGAAGGACAATTATCCTTATTTGCAATTAAAAAAAATTGATTTTACAAAATTGCCCTGATCACCGAATTAACTTTAGCCAATCGAAGGTTTTTCTTAAATTTGAGAAAAATCGTTTGTAAATTTAAAGAAAGTCATTTGTGAATAAATGAAAAGTCAATTGTAAATGAATAATTAATCTCATAAATTTATATATTATCACTTACAAGATTTATAGAAAAAAAGTTACTTGTGAATTTATAGAAAGTTAGTAGTGAATTATGTTTAGAAATAGGAGAGTCTCTAAATTGTATATGTGCAATTGACAATATATATATATATATATATATAAATTTGTAAGTGATTTTTATTAAATTTATAAGTGACTATACATTTATATTCCTAAGCGAATATCAATCTAATATTTATTTACAATTGACTTTTCATAAATTTACAAATAATTTTTTCTTAAATTCACAACTAACCATCCTTAATCATAAATTGTAATGCTTAAATTCATATGACTATATCTTTATCCAGAATTTACTTTCCATAAATTCACATGTAAATTCCTATAATTAAGTTTCTATAATGAAATTCACAAGTGGCGATGCGTAACTTATAAGTGACCACGAGATTATTTATTCATGACTTTTATTATTGATTCACAAGGAATCTTCCTTAAATTCACAAAATAGCTCTCTTTAAATTTATAAGTGACCACAAGATTATTTATATCTATTCATAATAGACTTTCCTTTATTCATAATGACCATTCTAAAATTTACAAGTAACAATGCATAAAGTCATTAAACCATCTATCCATTCATAATTATTTTTCTATTTTTAAAAATGATTTTCCTTGTTTCCACAAAAGTAGCGTTCCTTGAATTCATAAGTAGCCTTCGATTTATTAAGTTGTTCATTTGATGATAAGGATAAATTTTGTAAAATTATTTTTTTATTTGTAAATAAGGACCATGATTTATTCATATCAGTTCAATAATTCAAAGTTTTTAATTACCATACATGTAAAAAAAAAAAAAACTACAGTTATCATCAATGCCATCTAAAAAATTCTTATTTATCATTTTGTCTAAATATTACTATCACTGCTGGATTGCAAGCAACTAAGGAATGGTTAAAGACCATAGACATCTCATCAGTGATGATTTGGTCGGTTTTACCCCGTCAATCTTCCGCCCCTACCTTGGAGAACACGTTTATTTGTTATTACATATGACAAAAATGATGAATAATAGTTAAAAATAATTGCATTATTAAAATTTATCACTACTTTTCAAAAATTATCCTCCAATTAGAATTAATTTATCTTAATTAAATTTAATTACCTTTTTTATATGGAGTAATATTTCTATACTATAAAATTAATAAAGACATTTGTGAGCAAAAAAAATTTAATACTATTAACTTCTTGCAAAATATCCTAATTTTAGATTAATAAAATTTTTCATTCAAAATTTAGAAAAACTTCACAAGAAAAAAAATCCAGGTTGCGTATTCTTTTATAATGAAGAACAACTACTATAATGTTCCCTTCAGGTTCAATGGATCCAATTAATGTTTTTTTGGTTTGTTTGTTTGTTTGTTTGTGATAACAACACTATATTTGTTTTCCTTTACGGTGAAATGCTTATAAATTTAATTTGCCGCTCATCTGTTTCGTCTGCACAGCAAATTAAACGACGCAACGTAACCAATGTTTCCTTCAGCATTAGCGATTCCAGTCATCTACGTTTTGCTTACCTTCATATTTGTTCTATCCACAACCTTCCTCTTCCCAAAACGACAAAAAGATGATCAGAAACGACAACCACCAGGTCCTCCGTCCCCTCCGATCATCGGAAACCTCCACAATTTGGGTGAACGTCCTCACCGAAGCCTTCAATCTTTAGCCCAAAAATACGGCCCATCATGTCGTTGAAGCTGGGACAAGTTCCAGCGATTGTCGTTTCGTCCCCGGAAGCTGCCGAGCTGTTCCTCAAGACTCACGACACCGTTTTCGCAACCCGACCCAACATACAAGGGTCGGATCCTTTTTCCACCGGAGTCAAGGGACTGGCGTTTGCCCAGTACGGTCCGTACTGGAGGTATGTGAGGAAGCTGTGTACCATACACCTTCTAAGCGCGTCGAGAGTGGAGATGTTTGCTCCTTTGAGGACGGAAGAGGTTGGAGCGACGGTGAAGTTGGTCCAGAGAGCCGCGGCGGCGCGTGAGGTCGTGGACCTTAGTGATGTGGCTGGGGAACTTATAGAGAACATAGTGTTTAAGATGGTTCTGGGACGTACCAAGGACAATAGGTTTAACTTAAAAGGGTTGATTAGGGAGGGTTTAGGGTTGGTGGGAGAATTTAATATTGCCGATTATATCCCCTGGCTTGGTGTGTTCGATCCCCAGGTACGCTGTTTGTCTTCTACTTTTGCTTTTTGTTGCCAAATGTAAGAGCTATTTGCAAAATTTGTTTTGATTTTATTTATACAAAAGTCAGTTTGTTTAAAATTTAATTTAAAAGTGACTTTTCGTTAAGTTTAATTAACATTTTGAATTGTTGGGTAAATTAATATTAAGCTAATCATGAATTTTTTAAAGAGAAATCTATTTATTTTATCTTTTTTTTAATGTCGATCCTATTTAAAATAGAGCTTATCAAAATAAGTTTTTTTTTTCCCAACACATCTCTAAAATGTGTTTTAACTTATCAAAAGAAATATGCTGTTTTGATCCTATTTAATTGTAAGAATTCAATTTCTCATTCATTAATTTTTCCAAACTATCCGGCCAATTTAATATACAATTTTTTTTAATACAAGGCTACAGTAATATTATGCAAAGACTAAAATCAGGTAATGTCAAAAGCCATAAGGCTTATACAATTAGTAGGTAGAATATTAAAAAGATAAATATACAATTTCTTCTCTTCAAAATACTAGATTGAATTAATTTTTGAGTAAAATGCAGTGATCTGCCTTCTGTTTAGCTAAAATTACAGATACCTCTATTTCCATTAAAGATTGTAAAATATTTTTTATTTGAAATTATGTTAAAATTGTTAATTTACCCTTATGATTTATTTGTTTATTCTCTCTTCCAATTTAAAAAAGTTTAAATAATTATGTTAAAATTTAAATAAAGAATTTCAAAATTTTATGTTAAAATTAATGACACTTAAAGAAAAATAAACATAAATTATATTGAATACTCTCTTTTGTTAAATTCTTATTTCATTAATTTTTTTAACTGTGTGTTTGAATATTATTTTTGCCAATTTATGTACTGAAGTTTTTTAAAAATTACTAAATAACCACATATAAGAATCTAAAAAATTTGAAATATAATAAAAAACTAAAAAAAAATATATGCATTAATTTGTTTGAGCAACTTAAATGATTTTTAGATAATATTTATATTTAAAGATAGGGTATTTTGGTCAAATATATATAACTTAATTTTCAACTAACGTTTAGATGGATGGAAATAAGGTTTTAAAAATAGAGGGGATGTTTATATTTTGTAACTCCTCATATTAGGAGAGGTTTTCATATGTTTCAAAAATAGAAGGGATATATCTGTAATTAAGATGATACTCTTAATTTTTTTTATTCTATTTCTTTGAGAGGGCTATTAAAAAGAAAAAACGATGCCAAAATTTTTACACACCATAACAAATTAAAAAACCAACTTAACTGATTTTCTTTCTTTGATTTTCTTAAATAGAAACTTGTCTATTTTGTTTTTATATTTGTGAATTAGTTAACTAACTCCTATATTTAGAATTTCATGAAGTATATTATAACTGACTTTTATTTCTTCTTCTTCCATTCATGTGTAGACTTTTCATTTTTTGTAATTTTATCATGAACTAGAAACGACATGTAATTAACAACTTTTCATTTTTAAAATATTATATGTTTAATAACAAACTTAACTATTTCTTAAAATCTATGTAAATTAGTTAAATTATTTAACTAATGACTGTATATATGAACTCGAAACAACATGTATTTAACTTCTCTTGCCAGGGTTTGACACGAAAGTTGAAGAGAAACAAGAAAGCACTTCTCGACGCAGTGGAAGAGATAGTCACAGAGCATGAACAAGCTTCTGGTGGAGAACAAAATGAGGACCACCACCACCACCATCATGACTTCATACACATAATGCTTTCATTGTTGCATCAACCTATGGATCTGCATCAGGAGGACCAAAACCATGAAGATGTCCTTGACAGAGCTAGCCTCAAGGCTATTGTATTGGACATGATCGCTGCAGCAACAGACACTTCCGCGGTTTTAGTCGAATGGTCTTTATCCGAACTCTTGAAGAATCCAAGAGTGATGAAGAATCTCCAACATGAACTCCAAAACATTGTAGGAATGAACAGAACTGTGCAAGAGTCTGATTTAACAAAGCTAACTTACTTAGATCTGATAATCAAGGAGACTCTTAGACTACATCCAGTTGCTCCTCTTCTTATTCCTCGAGAGAGTATGGATGATGTCTCAATTAATGGATACTATATAAGAAAGAAATCAAGAATAATGGTGAACGTGTGGGCCATAGGTCGAGATCCTAAGGTATGGTCAGACAATGCTGATATGTTCTATCCAGAAAGGTTCATTGATAGTAATATAGACATTCGAGGGCATGATTTTGAATTATTGCCATTTGGGTCAGGTCGCAGAGGTTGTCCTGGGATGAATCTGGGTATGACTACAGTTAAATATGTTATAGCTCAATTAGTGCATTGCTTTAGTTGGAAGCTTCCTGGTGGCATGTCTCCTAATGACCTGGACATGAATGAAAAGTTTGGCCTCTCAGTTCCAAGAGTCAAGCACTTGCTAGCTGTTCCAACTTATCGTTTGTATAATTAGGTAATTCATGTCGTGATTATTGTTAATTTCATATCAGTTTAATTTTTAAGGTGCTTATAAGTGTATTGTTCCATGTAAAACCCCTGAAGCATATATATATATATATATATATAGATCAATTTTTGATTTGGATTCGGTGATATGTTCACTCACTCAATAAATGTCTCAAGTATAATTATTTGATATTTTATGAGTATTATGTGATCATAAAATCTTTGATTGCCATTTGACTAAACTAAATGGTTGTTATCATATAACGTAGAACACTTATTAAATTAAGTTCACTAACCGGATCTCATAATTTTCTTATTCGTATCAAATTTTCGAGGAATGAGTACAATATTATTGTTGGGTTTTCTGTTATTATGGCCCATAACATAAGCATACTTGTATGAAAGTACTTTATCAAGGGTTAATTTCTAATTTTTATTGGAACATTGTACATCATTCATTGTAATTTCTAAAAACACATTGTACATTTTATTGTACATTATTCACTGTACATCAAGGGTTATATTTTTTTAATTAAAAAAACCTACATGATTCAGTAGTTATGATAAGTTTTTCGTTTCGAAAATTTTTAGCAACTTTTATTGTTGGAATTTTGTTTTTCATGCTTTTGCATCCTTTGATTTTTTGCTTTGGTTTTGATTTCATTTTATTTATGGAATTATTTGGTTTCTTATGATTTAAGTTTTTCTTCAATCTTTTGGTAGATAGTCTTTTTGTTCTCTCTTTAAGGTGCACAAATTACTATTGATGCAATTGTAGTTCTATAGTGATTTCCAAAGAACTTACAAGGTATAAGTAGATAGTTATTGTTGGCTCAGTTTTTGGGTAATGGATCGAAGCATTGCGCCCCTTATAGGCTTGTCCTTAAAAGTGTAAGTTGGATCAAACGATTGTGTGAGTTTTTAAGGTTTATAACTACAATTTCTTACGAGTGCCAAGTGAATGTGAGAAATTACGAGTGTGGCTAGTGACACATAGAACTTTCTAATGCGTTAATACAACAGGATCTCTATGGAGACAGAGGAAAAAAGACAAATACAAACTAGCATAGGTGAAGCAACTTGCATTAAGAAAATTTGGTTGACGCAGGGTTAAAGTTTGTGTTTTTGCACTAATCAAGTCTTGGTAATTAAGTTTTGGCAGAGTGTTGAGTGTCTTTCTGTCATACACTCGGCACCTATTTATATAGGAAAATGGCAATGGCATGCTCCTTTGAATTTGAGTTTTAGTGCCAGATGTAACATCCTGAGTTTTAATTCCTTGATTAATTAAACTTAATTAGGATAATTAAATAAATTAAAATGGTGTATGGCTAGAGAGGTCTAATAATCATATTTGGTGATATTTTAGCCCTAGTTGTGGGTTTGGTACTGAGGCAAGCTACCCGGACATCGAAAGGAGAAGATAAGGAAGAGTTGAAGTTGCTGTGCCACATGCCACAGCGCGTAGATTGTCCGCCGTGGTGCACAGCCATTTTTGAGTGAGGGAGGACCCTTTGTGCTATGCGCCGCGGCGCATTGTGCATCTGCCGCGGTGCATGGCCATTTTCTACACTTTATTCTACGCGAAATGAGACAGAAAAAGAAAGAAAAGAAAAGAGAGAAAGGAGAGGTGTGCTAATACTCTGCTAAGGTTTGTTTGGGGACTACTTTGAGAGTATTTTGAAGGCTACAAACACCCAAGATAGGTATCATACTCATGAATCTCCCCTTTTCTTCCACATTTATGAGTTTATGGTTAGGGTTTGATAGTGAAAGTGGAATTTCGGTCTATATAGGTTATGAGACTGAATTTGTTGACTCAAATGGAGTTAATGGGGGTAGATTAGAGTATTTAAGCCTAGGTATGATGAGTTTTGGTGTCTTAGGATGTTGGACACCATAAATACCCAAAAATCTCATTTATTATGGGTGGTTGGAAGTTTGTGATGTTATAAATGGGGATTTAATAGCTCATTAATACTATTAGGGGCTAAAGGTAATTATTAAACCCCATGGTAAGGCTCCACCTCTTGTAAAGTGAAGGTTGGGCAATTTAAAAGTAGAGATTGAGGGTTCAAATGTTTTAGTTTGTTATGTTGATGGAATTCAACTTAGTTGATTGTAGTTTTAGCTTTTGATCACCTATTAGAGTGGAAATTCAAACTTGAAAGCTAATTGATTGAGGAATAAACATTTGACCTCTTAAAGATTTGAGGTAACTGGGAGAAAACTCTACTTTAGGTAGTTGTATGTTAATTAAGTATTAATTGATTGTTAAATCCGAATGGTGAATGTTACATGCATGAGATTGATTTTTATGTAAAACTATATATTAGTTTTCAATAAGTGTATGAAAATTTGATTAGGCACAATGTTATTTTGGCTTGAAATGCAAAATGCAAAGTCAAAAGGATTTTACTATGAAAATGCTTATGTTTTGAAAAATGAATGCGATGATGAGTAGAAATATTTGTGTGTTAGTAATGAAATGAATTTTGAGAAATGATGAGAACACACACTTGGGTAGCGCAAGGTCGTAAGCCCAATGTGATTGTTGTAAAAGTGAGTAAATGAAAGCGAAAAAGTAAACTTAAGTGAGTAATGATTATGGCATGATTAGTAGCGGGAGTTCGCCTAGGGATTTGGGAGTAGAGAAAATCTATATGGTAATAGGCTGTCCTCCGGTATACGGAGGCTATAGCCTGGTCTCACTGTTTGTCAAGGGACTGTCTCATAGTTTGTCGAGGGACTAGAACCTAGCTATCTCTACCAGTTCAATAAAGAGAATAGCTTAGGGTATGAGACACTCTAGGGATTCGAGAATAGGGGAAGCTGTGGTCCAAGAGTGAGTCCTGTAATTTTTGGCCGAGTCACACCTCACGATTGGTGAGCTTGGGTAGTCTAATTACACGGACGAAGCCCTAATCAGTGTTATAGCCTATGATTTCAGTATGAGGAAATAAGAAAGATATAAGGTTAGAAGATTATTGCCTAAGTAAATATATGACGTGTCACACGTGCTAAGTGGTGGCAGGTCGCAAGAGTATGGGTCATGTCACATATCTAAGAATATGGTGACAATGCACCTAGTTACATGAGTTAAAGAAGCTATATAGTGAAAAATGATAAATTATGATACATGTGAGTGTGATTTTCATTTTTGATCTCCTTATGCATGAATTTGTTTTATAATTGATATATAACTGCATAGGGTAGTGTTAACCTTGGTTACTAAGTGGCTAGACTCACCCTTCTTATTTAATACTTTTTAGGCTCTAACTCTAGTGTTAAGAGGGAGAAGACTAAAGAGGCGAGGAATTAGCATATTCCTACTGTATGCCTCTAGTTTAGCTTTAATTGTGTAATAGTATATGGCTTGCCAATTCTAGAATGCATATTACCTCACTCGCAATATTTTGGTTGTTGAAAATGTTAGAATTGTATTTTAAACCCTTAGCCTTTGTGTATGTTGATATATATATGTGTGTGTGTGTGTGTGTTTATAGGGCCAAATACTAGTACAAGTGTAAAAATGAAGATTTGAGCATGTTTTAAATGATTTGAGTTAAATACAATGGCAAATTACCTCTCCCTTTGTTTTTGTTAAAATGGGATTGAGGAGTGAATTTTTATTATATTGATGTTTTGATGCTTGTGATGTGTTGTACTAGTAGTCTTAGGTCCATTGTACATGATCCAAGTGTTAGGAAAAGCTTTTGGCACTTGTTGAAGGTTTTGGACACCCATTTTGTGTAAAAGTATTGAAAAGTGGTCAAATTATGTTTGGGTGTTCAACTTTCTAGTGTGACTTGTTTTGGAAGTGAAACCTGTGCCATTAACTAGTTCATGTAAAAAGCTTTCCATAGACACCTAAAACACGTCATTTGAACGTTGGACGGAGAATCAAGGCGAGTTGGAAGTTCCCCCGATTCTGCTGTCAAATGACAACAGAATTAGTGAAATTTCGTGCAACACACAGCGGCGCATGGCGCCTGAGCCGCAGCGCGTGGCACAAAGAGCAACAAGCCGCAACGCATCGTGCACAAGTCGTGGCACATGGCTCTGAATCACAGCATATATTTTGTTTTTCAATCGTTTTTTACTTCTTTCACTCCTCTGAGGCATCATATGCTTCCGAAACTTATTTTTACTCTGATGTGAAAGATTTTGATTGATTTTGACTGGTTTCTATTTAGAAAACTTGAGATCTTTTATTTTTAAAATTAAACCTTGGTAATTAACTGGTTGAGTTAAGTCTCTAATTATCACGTGTTTTATTTAAATAATTTTATTTAGTGGAGTGAGAACGTTACACTAAAATAAATAATTATTCGCGTCATTAAATCATCGAGGATATGCATCATCGTGCGAAGTGGTGACAGTAAGTACACTAATTACAAAACTCGAGCAATGGCAAAGTAGGTGAGACAGCATCGTTGGCTTCCTAAATATGGCATTCCACTTACACTTATGAGGTCGGTTCATTGTTGGGTTGAGTCTTCCTTTATATTGGATTGCGCATCGACTAATTACCCCGTCGGCCCAATGTGCCATTTTTGCTCCAAACAGTTGCCCCTTGTACGTGAAGTTTCATTGCCTAGGAACAATTGATTATGCTTCAGCTTTTCTGTACTCTATAGGCCAAGTGTTGAGCTTAGATATAGGTAACAATTAGTTCGCACACGTTCCCGAAGCACTACCATCTTCTCAACAACAATAGGGTCAATTAACCTAATATTTTTTTGGCTGAAAAATTAACTTAATATTTTTAATTTAAATTATCTAAAAAAAAGAGATGATTGATATTTTTTTTTTAGTTTTCTATGACATCCCCACATCTAGTGGCTGTGAGACTAATTATTTGAGTACTCTAAATATCATTTAAGAAGTTATCCTCTCCAAATGATGCTCCACACACACACACATATCTAGAAATCAAGTCCTATAATAATACTTAAAAGACCCAGACCGCTACCATTCCTTCCTGCCACATCTACTTGATAAAGAGATAGTTGATATCTTTAGACAAAAAAAAATCCCTAGTCTTGTTCATCCTATCCACTGTCCACATGGATGTTGTTTAGAGGATATTGGTGAGTTGACCAACAAGGTTTAATGGATAGGTA